TAAACAGCATCACTGTATTGTCTTTATGCAATATGATTTTAATGACTAACGAACCATTTTTAAAAAGCAAAAAAAACTACTTGTGTTGTAATGGAAGCACAGTAAATAAATGTGGCTGCATACAGCATGTTGTTGCACAATCCACCAATCACGTCCGTCTTTACGACAGGTGGGCGTGACTCTCTCACTACCACAGGTGTAACAAAAGCACACGCACACGCAGGCTCTGCATCGGAGGAAGAGGCACTGAGCAGAGACACCTGTTCATTTGAAAAATAATCCCCTTTGATTTTATGTGAACTGTGTGTTAATTAAGGGCTGAAGTAACATTGTGCATTATGTGTCCTGCTTTCTCTAGTAGTCTAATTAAAGCTCTTCTGTTGGTGCGGCGGCCTAATATTAATTCACAGGTGTCTGCATCTACCCATCGCCATGGTTACGTTAAGATACACCGTTTAACACTCTGCATTTCAATGGAAATGATTAATTAATCTACATAACACAGTGCCAGTGTTTCACTGCATTTGTAACAGTGTAATTGTGAATATTTTTATAGCAAGCTAGGTTTAAAATAGGACACATTTGACTTTGAAAATAGCCTGCACAAAGCAGCTAGTAAATTGGACTAAATCGCTGTCCAACACTGGTATCAAGTTCTTACAGATCAGAGGGAGCGGGAAGGACTAACTTGACCTCATTATAGGTCACTCGTTGGGAGATCAGTCTAGCAGCACTTACACCCAAATTGGCTAAATAAATAAACGTGAAAAGTACTACCTTTTCCTAAAAACGCAACTCAGAACAATAATATTGAGAAAAGTTTTACCCCCAAAAAATATCTAATTCGAGCCAGATGGATAGATACAATTCCCTTTTAGATTAAAAAAAACAACTCCAGAAAAAAACTCCTGAAATGTTGAGAAGGGATACACTTTACAATTAAGAAGAATTATCAGCCTATTATCAGTCTATCGGAATCAAACCTCCAACCATGGAAGTGTAAGTCAACAGTGCTACCTACTAAACCACTGTACTGAACAAAAAAGAAGATACGATGGCCCATGTTACATTTCAGCTTCACAATCGGTAAATGTTTTTCACTTTGTTAATTTTTAAATAAATTATGTATGATATTCAACACTTTTTTTTTTACAAGTTATGCTTCATGTTACTGATTTTCCCCAACTGTAATGTTCTAAGCATGTTTACGTTGGGTTAGGCTATGCTGATGATAGGTTAGGTGTACTGTACTAAAATGCATTTTCGTTTTACGATATATATATTTTTTTATTTTCAAGATTCAATATCCTTTAATTGTCACATACATAGTTATACAAAGTACAACACGCAGTGAAACGCATCCTGAACCGCTCTTTTGTAGACTGTCCAAGTTAAAAATCCAATTATGCTAAGTTAAAGTGCAAAAGCTAAAATGCGAGCAGAGAAGTATGTTCAAAATGAACGGTAACACAGACATAAAAAGTGACCAGTGTAACAGTGTGTATATGGTGAGATGTACATGAGCACAATGTACATCAGGGTGTGAGGTGCAATGGCACGTCCAGGTTCAGAGACCTTATGGCCTGGGGGTAGAAACTCCTCCTAAGCCTCTCAGTCCTGGCTATGATGCTCCTGAGTCTCTTTCCTGATTTCAGAAGCTGAAACAGGCTGTTGTTGGGGTGGGATGTGTCCTTGATGATTCTGAAGGCTCTGCTCCTACATCTCTTGATGTAACTGTCCTGAAGAGATGGAAGGGCCGACCTGCAGCAGCTTTCTGTTGCACGGATCACCTCCTGGAGGGCTTTGCGATCCTGAACACAGCTATTCCCTAACCAGGAAGTAATGTTCTGAGTCAGGATGCTCTCCACAGCGCTCGAGTAGAAAGTCCGTAGGATCGTTGGAGAAACCTCCTCAGCTGTAGCAAGTTGCACCTTACGATAGTTTTGACAGAACGTAACCCCATCGTAACCCCGGGAGAGGCTGTGTTTCCCATGGCATATTTCCAGCACCTTCAGCTGGAATGACCACAGGCAAACACCTCCAAGAATTTTGCATCAGTCTCTGTGATTCTATGTGGAGCTCACTTCACGCTTTTCCACACCTTAAGTGGGGTTGACAGTCACTCGTCAGTGCCATTCTCATGTGGACTCATCAGCGTGTTTGACGCTGGTCTAACTCTGATGGTGTATGACCATCTATGATTCAGCTAATAGGCAGATGGCCTAACATTCACTGAAGTCCTGCCGCAATAAACCATCCCCAAACCACCACTCTGCTTAACTGCTTGTGTGAGCTTCTTACTGCAATGCCACAGTAATTAAACAGCTGACTGTAATTATCACTTTATTTTGATCAAGTTGAGGGGGGGGGAGGTGGTGATAGTTAATCATTTTTCCCACACCGGAAGATTGCAAGTGAATTTCCTCACAGACTACAGCAAACAGAAAACACAGTTTGTGTCATTTCTCCTACACTGCTTCCATATAGCACTCCAGCCATCGCTGGATCTACCATGTGGGAAACCTGGGGGCGCACCGAGGGGTCCTATGTGTCGAGGGGCCTTTGAATATGCCTGACAAAAAAAAAGGAAAGGTGCAGTAATCAACCTATGAAATACTGGCACATGCTCACTGTCAGTTACAGAAAATAAAATTTGGGTAGTACACATGAACTGCGAGATGGATCTTGCTAAAACCCGAGACCATAGTGGGGCATTAAAAGGAAAAAGGAAGCAAGAGGTGCTGAATTGCTTAATGTGCAGAAAATAAGAACGTTTTTCCAAAAAACAAAATCAACACAATAGAAACAAAGACTTATCATCCACGATATTTACACCATCAGGAATTACCAGGAAGTTCCAGGCTAAAGGGGTGAGGGGGGGCTTATTTTACTGATGCCCAGGAACCAGGAGAGGTCTTAATCCACCCATGAATCCAACCCTCAAAAATATCTGAATAAATAACTGAACATGAAACTCTGTGAGCAAACACATTTTATGGAACCGTTTCTACCCCTATCTGCTAAAGTTCATGACTCACAAATTCCATTCATTGATTTGTAACCAACAAAAAGCCCAGTCCAATTTCCTCTCCAGACCAATTTGTCTTGCCAGTGCAACAATCAAAAGACTTAATCTTGTTTGCACACAAAATGCTTCACCATCACGGAGCTACGATGGACTTTTCACAGCTGCATCATTATTACTAAAAAAAAAAATCTGCTCTTTGGGGAGGGACCCCAGTGTGCAAATTAACTGTGAATTAGTCCGTTTAACTCATCATTATATGGAATATCGATATTTTAGAAAGTATCACTGTATGCATACGGTCAATAGGTTAAGCATACATTTGATCATATGTTATATGTAGTGAAATATTAGCTACACAAGCAATAATTGTAAACATTAAAAGCCTTATTTGTAGCTACTCTAAACTCAACTATCAAGCATTAAAAAACAATTTAAAGTAACAGCTACCATGAGTTCAAAAGATGGGTCATCCAAAAGTGATATTAAAGTAGTAGAAAAACCAAATTCAAACAGTGTAAAGTGAGACCCCATCAAACTCTTTTTTTAACTGTCTGGTTAATGTCATATTTGACTTTCATAGAGCAAATGCTTTATGCTTTATGTTTGCGCAAAGAAAATTTCCAGATTCAACCATTATCAATTACAAATAATCTATGATTATATCTATAAAGGTTATATCTTAGGTTTTATAAGTGGTGGGCAGGGTCCCGCTAATCCGCTAACCTCTAATTAGCGAAGATACCTTGTTAGTTAGCGGATTAGTGTTTCCGCTAACTCTGAAAACCAAAACAGCGGACCAATTAGCTTCCACTAAACTTAGTTCCGCTAAGTGTAAATCCGCTAACATTTTTTGGAGGTAAAGTGAATAAAGTTTAACTGTCTAAAACGTTTGTAAACCCTAAGACCATACATATTTGTTCCTGATTGTTGTGAGCATGTCTGCAACAGTTTATAAGGCATGTTGTTGGCTGACAACGTGTAAACACAAGGCGTGTTTGGTCGATAACTGGTTGTATTTAAGGTAGTCTGGGCTAAATATAAATGAAGGAAGATAAAGTCCATTTAAACTGGAGTACCTTGAACTAAGCTGAGAACAGGGGCCTGTATCACAAAGCCGGATTTCTTGGTTAGCCAGATAACTTGTCAGATTTAATGTGTGCTACTTTAAATAATTTTTTCAGTTAGCTGTGCTCACCACTGGATTTTATCTACATTAATTTCTTACGATAATCAATTGTTTTAATTAAAATTTGCAGAATTTTTCCAAATTAAGAAATTGAACTTCATAAAAAAGGATAATTGTATTGAAATATTAGCATAAATGTATAAAATATTAATTGTGATAAAAATATAGTGGCTAGCATGGCTACCTCAAGCTGGAGACCAGGGTTCGAGTCTCCGCCCAGCTCTTTATGTATCAAGTTTTCATGTTCTCCCCCTGTTGTTCTGGGGATCCTTCCATGTACTCTGGCTTCCCCCACAGTCCAGAAACATGCTGAGGTGAAGTGGAGTTTCCAGATTGTTCATAGGAGCGAATAGTGTGTGAATGGTGTGTGTGTGGCCTGTAATGGGCTGGAGACCCATCCTGGGTTGTTCCCTGCCTTGCGCCCATTGCTCCTGCTATAGGCTCCGAACCGGACATTGTAGCGAATGTATAATGACTACAGTTTCATTCCAAGTTTCATTTTAAGCAAAATATTTCCTTTTGTGCAGCGTGTTTAAACAGCAAACATTCCTAATAATTCTGGTTTTAAAAGAAATCATAATTACTATCTTCCAGGCCAATTTATGTTTTTCAATTACATATATTGAAGTTGTACCTCTGTTTAATCTGAACTCTTTAAAATTCTGCATTCCACCGGAGACACCAAAATACGTCCAACAGGAGAACAATCAGACGCGGTAAATTTCTGTTGCGTGATTACAGCTTTTATTCTGAATGTTTTGCAAAAACAGCCAAAAAGTCAATACAAAAGCAGCACATTGAGTAATTACAGGATCCAAGAAGAAACAGAATTTTTGTGTGTAACAGCCGTGACATAGCTAAGAAGATTACAGTCATGCCCCTTATCCTAGCTAGACCAATCCCTCAGTTTATGGAGAAATTGTGCTTTTGGTCTCCATTAATAATAATAATAACAACAACAACAACAATAATAATAATAATAATACATTTTATTTATAACGCACTTTACATTTTCTGAGAAAATCTCAGGTGATATAAAACCTCAACAATCTAAAAAAAGAGCTATAAAGCAAAAAGTTAGGAATGATAAAATCTGCTAAAAAGGAAGGTTTTAAGTCCTTTTTTAAAACTGTCAGTAGATTGAGCTGCCCTGAGTGTCAGGAAGGACATTCCACAGGCGAGGAGCAGCATAGAGGCCCGATCGCCCATCGTGCCGAGTTCAGCTCTGGGGGGATGGAGGCGATTTAACTGTGAAGAGCGGGGGGTCATGTTGTGGTTTGAGTTGTCATCAGTTCTTTTAAGTAAAGTGGAGCGTTTCCATAAATGCACTAGGGGGTGAGGAGAGAGATCTTGTACTCGATCCTGGCAGAAACAGGAAGCCAGTGAAGTGACTGAAGGACAGGTGTTGAGAGATCGGAAATATGAACACATATCAGGATCCTAGCAGCAGAGTTCTGGATGTACTGCAGCCTCAGAAGACTCTTATTAGGGATCCCAATGAAGAGTGTCCTACAGTAGTCCAGCCGGGAGGAGATGAAAGCATGGACCAACTTTTCTGCATCAGGGAGGGTGAGGGGAGGGCGAAGCTTAGCAATATTTCTGAGGTGGACAAACAAGGTCTTGCAAAGGTGCTTAATGTGCTCAAAAGTGAGAAATTAATCCAGTTTTACATCAAGATTGGTGACTGATGAGGAGAGGGGAACACTGTGACCAGAGAAGGCAATGCTAGCTATGGATGATGCCTGAATTTGATGGGGTGTTCCTGCTAGGACTGCCTCGGTCTTGGAGCCGTTCTGCTGAAGGAAGTTTTGTTCCATCCACACCTGTATCTCCTCCAGACAGTTGGTAAGTGCAGATAGAAAAGATGACGGTGGCAGTGATGATGAAGACAAAGATGGAGCCACAGCTGTAGTTTTCACATATAATTGCATCAACGGAATGGCGCTCCTATTTTGACGGACTTATTGCTTACAAAATTATAAACTGACTTGCATAGTTCAGGGACTATACAAAAGATTACTTTTCTGTAATATACTGTAAGCAAACATCTTTGCCAGCTATAACCTGTGACAGTAGTAGTAAAAACGTCCAGCTCACTATTATGATACTCACAGAACTCTCCATTAGTAACGTTAAATAGGATGCTATGCTATTACAAGCCACGACTAGCTAGGAAGAAGGCGGCCAGGTGGCTAACTTTAGATGGTAGTAGCCAAGTATCTTGCAAGGCAAACTATGCCTATATTTCTCAAATGTAATTATGCACAAATATTTGCAATTAATTTTCACACACATTTGGAAAAGGGTTTGGTGCTGATGCACTACTAACTGCTTCCACCCCCACCCCCAAGTTAATCCCTTGCTGCATCCATGAGTCCCTGCTGTTGCGAAGTTTGGAAGAAACCAATACCACAGGGAAAGGGGTGTGTGGCTTTCAGAGATATGATCTACATTTCGTCTACCACATCTTACCCTCCGTGACACACAGACACATGCAGGTGAGAGCAAGCTTGGCACTGAAGGGCAGCCACTAGTGGAAGCGCTCATGGGGCTGGGGGTAAGGGCCGTGCTCCCAGTAGCCCACTGAGACAAACGCTGAATCCTATAGCATCATCATACTGCCCAACCCTGTTCACCAAACACTAATCCGATTCACCCCCTATTATGATGATACTACGCAGACTTTCATAGGGCCAAGTTCATCATTGCAGCAGCACTCGTAACCAGTTTTCAAAACACAACAGTGGACTTCAGGGACATTTCTAGCTATTGAAAAAAAAATCAGAGGCTAAGTCAAGTTTACCTGGGGCATGAAGTTTTCTTTTGAAGGAAGATTAGCATCGGGTCTAAAAAGACCCGGGGCTACACTTAAAATACCCCAAGGTACTTAAAATAGCCCCAAGTGGTCGGACCTAACGATGCCCATGGTGGACTCTGCAACAGGCGTGCAGTAGGGGCATGGATACCCTGGCATATTCTGGGGGCCCAGCACTATTCAGGGGGGCCTTCAATTCAGGGGGCCCAAGGTGACATTTTGTCAGGGGGCCCAGAATTTCTAGCTACAGCCTTGCTCTCCAAATTCCCACCTCCTCACCTTGCCTTCTGTTACCAGGCACCAAACACACTGACTGAAAATCTGACTGGCAACAGTGAAGCTCTACCCTATCAGTATACAGCTCATTTTGTTGGGATTAACCGTGTCAGTGACAACAGCAACGTCAAACCAAAGGGCATGTACCGCCTACAAGACGGTGAATAACTGCTGCCTCTCTTACCTCATGCCTCGCTGCCTCTCTTATCTCATGCCTCGCGGCACCAAAGACTGGCCTTCATGTCACCAGAGGCAGACATCCTGTCACAGGCTTCATTCTGCCTCATTTTCTTCATGCCTACGCAAGAACTGGATTATTTAAACTACGTTTAAATACTTATATCAAATTATTACTGCAGTTATCATTAATATTATGGCTATTATGGGGCCTGCTCACAATTATTTTTGGGGAAAATTTTTAATTCTAAATCCCTGCATCTCTACCATTTGTGGGAAAAGTGATGCTTAATTTATTTTTTTAATCATATCTTATTTTTCCCCCCAAAATTAGCTTTCTAAGAAAGAATATTTTCAGTAGCTGATGATCAAAAATAACTTTTTAAAAGATAAACCAGCAAACCAAATTTTACTCTTAATACTACATTGTGGAAGTTACCCTCATTTTACATTAATCATAAAACCACTGTATCCTTATATTTCAATCCAATGGTACAAAATAATTGCAAAAAAACCTTGACTTTGAGCTCTGAAAGATAGAATTATGGTAATTTTCTTTAGTTATCAAACTTGCATTAGAATACAGGAGCTCCTCCTGACCGAAAACTGAAAGGAAGATCTAAAGAGGGGGAAAAAAGAAATGAGCCGGAGCAGTTAGCAGCGTTGATTGATTGTCTTGACATCATCAGGGGACAAACAGGAAATCAAACATGGGAGACGCCATGGCAACAAAAGCTCCCCCCCCAGTTTTCTATAATAAGCGCTCATTAGGCAACATGGCGCTGCTGACTGCTATGAACAGAGCAGCTTCATCCAGCTTGCTTTGTTACCTGTGTAGAAAGTAATCGCTCCATGCTACATTAAATTTCCAACAAGCAAATAGATATATTGATTGACCCTCATTCAACGCGATATTGAAATTCTATTTCTTTTGTTTGAAAGCACATTTAAATATCCCCCATTATTATTCAGTTGCTTAGCAGCAATGCTTTCATCACACACAATTTACATAGCTTACACAGTAGCAGTTTACACAGATGTTTTAGCTAAAAAAACAAAACAAACAAACTGGTTAAGTGGCTGAAAGGTAAAAAAGGGTATGGATCTGATCTTGCCATTGTCCTCCCAGGCCTCTCCACTGATTTTACATCAATCAGATTCTCCTCTTTTTTCTTTCTTTCTTTTTTTTTTTTAACAGATTTTAAGCTAAAGAATTAGCAGTAACATTTTATATAGAACATTCACTGTAGCTTCATGATGCAGTAAGTATACCTTAACATCCTAACATATCTTAACCTATACATTAATAAAGATGATAAGCATTATAATCGTATTATCATACAATGTCACGAATGTATATTAAAGCTGCTGAGCTATATTAGGACGTTAAAGTATACTTACATGCGGCTTATGAATGTTCTATGAATGCATTATGAAGGCATTACGAAGGTGCAGTTAATGTAAAGCACTACCGAATCAGCGTCACAGACTACCACATTTCGGGCAAAATGCAACCTGATCACACACCTTATTAATGAACGCTCCCAATAAATATCTATTGCAGGTTGGATAAAAAGCATGAAAAAAGATGATAACAGAACAACTCAAATGCTGAAATGTACAACCTTTACAAGGCAGTTCACACAGCCCCACAGGCTCCATAAAGCCTTTTTTAATGTAATGCTATAGAGCAGTGGTTCCCAATCCAGTTCTCAAGGACCCGCAGACAGTCGACGTTTTTGCTCCCTGGGAGGTAGCAAAAATGTGGACAATCTGGCAGGGAGCTCGGAGGGAGCAAAAATGTGGGCTGGCTGTGGGTGCCCAAGGACCGGGTTGGGAAACACTGGCAAAAAAAAAAAACAAAAAAAAAAAAAACACAGAAACATATTGCAAGAGTCCATATATCCCTAAATACTGTCAGCATTTCAATTCCAAGGATTTTTATCAGCCCTGAACTGTTAAAGATCTGACAGATGAGAGCTGTAAAAACGCAGCCGACCAATGGCGTACTCTCCACGGCGTCATTTTCAAATATATGTTAACAAACCATGGGAATTATCAAACGCCACTCAGTTTGTTGTTTTTTTTTTTTTTTTTTTTTTTTTAACTGTAATGATTACACAACCCGCATTGGAATCAGAGGGCTGTCCTGCTATTGGTCAGTTCTAGACTTTTTTGAGTTTCCTATACAAACAAATCTGATTAGGTTTACTTGATTTTTTAATTGCCGTTCGGTTAGTGTAAATATGCATAATTTTTGAGTGAGGATATTTTTCCCCATTAAGTCAATGAACCACAATTCGCACAGACTGGTAGTTAAATCAATGAAATAATAAATTTGCTCTGATTGGCCATTGCTTGCATCTCTCATAAATGATTCATGTGGACTACCCATTTGTAGATGTTGCATTTGCTAATTTGCTAATGTTGTTATCTCTAGTGCCACCTGGACTTGGAATACAGTGACAGTAATAAAATTAATCACAAACGTGTCAGTCAAGACTTAAATATTTTTCCTGAAGTAGAGCAGGTGAACCATCGCACCTCCGCAGTTTAAACTACAGACACTGTCCTCCAACGATAATCTAGAGTTGTCCTCATGTTCTCTCATGTAATAGCATACATTTCCTCATCTTGTGCTACAGGCAACATTATCGGACATCTATTAAATGCATTAATATGTACAGACATTAACAAATCATGTTTATAATCAGATGCTAAGAATATGGCATGGGGGGCATATCCTGGGGGGCATAACCATTGAACGTGGGGAAAAAAAGAGTTGGTTCTGCGGTATCACAGTTCTTACTACGGACAGCACCTGTACTGGAAATAATAGCTATCGCTGCTCATATTCACTAATCATTAAAGTTTCTTTGTTTAAATAACCCTCTGCAGATCTTCCACTCATCAAAAAGTCTAATTTAATCTGATGAACAACTAAGAATTTATATTTCTGTAACCTCTGACTATCTCCGCTCTGGCATCCGGTAAAATGCCAGCCATTAGGAAGGCGAGGAAAGCAGGCTGCCGCAAACAGGTCATTCGCTGAAAAGAGCATACCATAATTAACCCCTGTAAGTCAATTCCTGTCAGACTAAATGCTAACTTCTCCGCCAGTCGTGCCAGAAAATAACACGGCTCCTTCCTATTAGTCAACAAATTATTTGCGTTCCAAAGCACGGCACACCTTTTTGAAAAATTCTGCAAAATATATTCACACAAAATTCTTGCTGTCAAATAAAATGAAAAGATATTCACACATTACTATTCTGAAAGTGGATTTTATGATCTGCCAAATCGTGCTACACCACTTCATTAGAAGCAAATGAGATTTAGCATCCATATTTAAAATCTTTAAACAATTTCAGTAATCAGATGTAGGCCTATTGCCAGTGTAATGTGAAATGACTGGTATTGCATTTTTGATGGCATTGTCTGTAGTTACCAGTAAAACAGGAGTAACATAAACAATGAACGTTATATGGGCTGGTCAAACTGACATTTACCACAAACTTAGAATTGTAAGACAAAGGTCTTGTCTTTATAAGTTTTCATCCACTCCTTTTCCATTTAGCGTAAAAATCATCCTGAAAATATCACGAAATTAGGTCTCCACGGATGGCAGTGGATTACACGACATTTAGGGCCTACACAATCATTTACTTAAGGACAGTCTTCGCACAGTATGAATATCCTTCGTTTCTGTTTTCTCCATGACAAAATTCAGTAATTTTCAGTAAATGTTACAAAGCGCATAACATAAAGAGCATGGTTCTTACCTTAAGACGTTACAGGTGCATACCAAGCTGCTGGCCGCGGAAATTTGTTACTCACAATTTGTTTGTAATGCTGTGTATATTAATGTGGAGTGCAAAACACGCAGCCACCTGACCAAGTTGTGAATCTGTTTTTAATTGTAGGTAGTCTCGAATAAATCTTACGAAATCGATCAAAAGGTTCCGACTTACCGGTGTTGTGTCGAATTGAGATACTTTGTCGAGTTAGGCTACCGAAATGCTAATCGATAACCCTAACCCCTAAAACCGCTACCCTAACCCCTAAGACCTAACCCTAATCCCAAAACGGTGGAACTGCACATGCGCAGAAAGGCATCGATAGTACGTCTCGATAGGTAGCTCAACTCGTCTGAACACCGGCTGTAAAAGATAACTGTTATAATTACATGCACAAGCGATTATTTACAATATTCATTTTTTAGTAGATACTGAAATCAATCATCTTTACAACGTTTTACGCGTTTCAAAATATTTTTTCCACTTAGTCATTAAGACAGTTAAGCCCATAAAATGCTGATTATGTTGATTTTATGCTTGCCGTACGCTTTTGTCTTTGATTAAGTACGTTGGCATGCAATACTACTACATCTCTTTCATGTTAGATCCTTCCCATAAAAGCGTAAAGTCTATCAGTAAGGAACAACTCAGGTCGATAATTTCAGCTAATGGTGGTCGTAGGGTGAGCTTCATCTTTGCTTTTACTGGGCATATAACACCAATCGATAGACTTGATTTGCAAGCAACTAGTTCTCTATGGGAGTAAATGTTTCACAAACAAGGCAGTCTTTTAAAAATGGATTCTCTGACAACCGTGTGTATGTGCCCCGTGCTGCCTGGAATAGACTATGACCAGGATAAGCAGTTAGAGAATGGATGGATGGATGCACTAAACATGCAGGTGAAAGGTCAGGGTTCAAAGCAATTAGGCTAATTACTATTCAAAGCGCTGCACGGCTGGCAGGGCTGAACTTTCATCCAGACACTGACATGGTACATGAGAGGGAGTCTTAGCCCTTGGAGATCCACACACTACAGCACTGATGCTTCTTGGCACATGATATTGTTGTGGCTAATTTAAAGAAGATATTTAGAGTCATAAGAGTATAAACAAAGCCAAAAAAGTATGTGTGTGTGTCTATATATATATATTGTTTTGGTTTTTTTTAAAATAATAACAAATAACTCCAATGGCTCCTATGGACAGTTACGGGGAATACCTGAATCAGAAGATCGATGCTGTGCCTATTATGCAGTACTCATGGGTGCTGTGGTAACGTCTTTCAGTCCGGTGGTGATTACACACTTGATGTCCCTGGCTTCAACAGATTACTGTGCTATCCCGAGGTGCTGAGGAATGGTGGGGGTTGGCCGACTCACATGGCAGTCCATCAGGATGCCCCGGTCCAGGAGCGAACAAAGGAAATTGATGATTACAGGTGCAGGAGGGCGATGATGAAGGTGACGGTGCACTGGAAGGCGCTGTCGGCCTGGGCGCTTTCAGAATGAGGACTGTGTGGTTAAAACAACAATTTCAGCATCAGTCCCCTATTTCCTACCTGAATTTCATCAGAAAGGGAATTCTTATTTTCCAGCTTGTTACAAGTGCAATAAGTGTACTGTTGTTTCACTCTACAGGTGTGATTCTTTCTATGATTAGATTTGTTAATTAAATCTTTTGTAAAATGTGGCATGTATGCAATATCCTATCTGTATAAAATATAAGGCAAATTGATGTAACAACCACCTTATTACAATAGCGCATGAAAAATTCTATTCTATTCTATTCTATTCTATTCTATTAGTATAGTGCATTTTAATAACATTACATTGTGCCAATGTGCTTTACATTATCCCTACCCAAAGCCCCCAGTGAGCAAACCAGAGGCGACAGTGGGAAGGAAAAACTACCCCTTAGCAAGAAACCTTGGGAGGAACCAGACCCAAAGGGGGAGCCCATCCTCCAGGAGACGGCCGAGGAAGTTAAAGTCCAATGAGCAAGAATTGCTAATTAAATATTAAGGATTCCAGAACCTGAACCAAATGTTTCTTGATTGACAATTTCCTAAAATCTTATATTGATGTGATGTCAATACTTTTCCCTCTTCCACTGCTTATTGTGGTCAGGGTCACACGGCGGGGGTTTGGGGTGCAGTGCAGGACCCGAATGGGTCATAAACAGTTCAATGAAAACTGGTAATTGAAATATTACATAAACAAGCTCACGTGTAAAAGCCAATAACATCCATCCATCCATCTATCTATCCATATTCTGTAACCACTTTTCCTTTGCAGGGTCTTGGAGGGTATCTCAGATGCTTTGGCCGCAAGGCATATAGAACAACCCAGGATGTGTCACCAACCGATCACAGTGCACACTCACACATCACTCACACACCATTCACACCTACGGGCAATTTGGTAACACTAATTCACCTTTGCATGTTTCTGGACTGTGGGGGGAAACTGGAGTTACCCAGAGGAAAGCCCACGATGACATGAGGAGAAGATGCAAACTCCACACACACGGAGCCAGAGTGTATAAAAACATTTAAAGTTTTAAACATTTAAAGTTTAAAAGTGTACAGAGTGATATAATAACACAGTCCATGTGCCATGAAAATTCATATTTGCAGTAATAAACTAAAGCCATCTGAGAAAGATAAATCTGATGTGGTTATCAGAAGTTTTTTGTTTGTCATGGTCATAAAACTTTGAGTAGCGGAATGAGTCATATGCTGCTTTTGTTCTCCGTTTAGTACCTCTGACTAACAAACTGATCCTAATATGCTGGTGTTTATTTGCTAATTCATATCAGCTGCCCTAGACTGTGGTTTTATAATGTCATTTTTGTGCACCATAATTTTGCCATAGAATTCCACGTTTCTTTATTTTGAGAGTTTTTATGTTGCTTTCAATATAACAATAGAGAGCTGCTGGCACTATTAAACAGACAATGCCTTTCTTGAAATGGCTGGTTAATACAATGAAATGTAGTCTGTTCACATCAGGTTTTAAAAATTTCCTTATGTTTTGCTGTGCAGTTTGTTACCATTCTTTGAAGAACGGAGATTAATTTTTAAGTTGCATTTGCCGTCTTTTTCTTTTTTTGCACATTTGTGCCCAGATCTCATACTATTTTACAGTTTTCTGAATATTTGTCAAAATATCATACAGTTATGCTACAAGTTTAAGCAAATCACACTCCACCTGCTGTTATGTCACCTGACAGATACTACCAATGATACTCGTTTCAAATATTTTTACAGGTATTTATTCTTGACTGATAATTAAATGCTGCAGTATGTTTATGATTAATTCCAAATTCATATTGTTTAATACTGATGCAAAATGTGTGATGTACAAAAATGACAATTAATGAGTACTACTACTAAAACACTTGTATCTCCTTGAATGTAAACAATGTCCTCTTATCCCCAGTAACACAAACATAGCCATTTTCTGGTGAGCCTTTGTAGTACATGCATAGACAGGGCAATGTACTGTTGTATGCAATGCAGCCATTTAAACTGTTGTTTGCCATTGTGTTTATATACCTTAGGGTTCTTACTCATTGCAAAATGTTGGATTCATGAGGTACCTCTTCAGCTCTGCTGTGATGTCAGTGTTTGGTAACAACAGTAGGAGTTGAGATGTCAGATATTGCTAGATTTAATTCCTAATTTTGAATTTAATTTTGAAGAAGTTGTTTCTCACTCTATTTTTTTGGGATCTGGTCGTTCTGAAGCTCTTTTTGGGCAGCGGTGGGTCACACAGGGTGAGTCTACCTGCCATATGTGTCCCATAAGTTCTTCAATTTTTATTTTAGGTAGTAAAATTTCAGACTAAACAGCAACAGAAGTCTTTCTGTGAAAAATCTGAGAATGAGTCAGCAATGATTAGTGAAACCTCTTTCCACCATATTGTCATAATTATATATGGTTTATATATGTATATTGCATTTCTTATGAGATTGGAAGCAAAGATGAAGCTGTCAAGTTTTTAAGACAATGTAGTATTTAGGGTTACAAGAAAGTTGGATCCAACCTCAGGTCTTTCAAGCAATACTTCATGCAGAATCTCAGATGGATGAGTGTCCTGCCGTTTCCATGGTAATGCTTAGTGTATAAAGCATTTTTCATTAAAGCCTAATTTCCTATTATGGGTTGTTGTTAAAGGCAAATGTTACCAGGAATAGTCCATTACTGATATAAAATATTCAAGTTAACTTTGTGATTAACTTAATATTGATATTGAATATGAAATATTTTGGTAACGCTTTACTTAAAGCTCTCATTTATAATGCACTATAGATACCTTCATAATGCATTATAATGGTTGGTATAAGAATTAATAAAGCATAATAGTATCTTCTATTGACAGTCATAAGGCATTATAGTGTTGATTATAATGCTTCATAAGCTCCAATGAAGCTCTCATCTATAATGCACTATAGATACCTTCATAGATACATCTATGAATCTATTGACTATGGGGCAGCATGCAACAATGGGTGGTGTGTGGCTCACTGGGGAAAGCCTCTGTGTTTGTGAGCGGAAGGTTGCTGGTTTGAGCCCCCCAGCTCTGCTCCAGGCAGCTGCCAGATGGGGGGGGGTTAGACAAAAAAAGAGTGTTTCCCCACAAGGATCCATAAAGTTATTTAATTAAAAAATGCACTGAATGCATTGTAATGGCCTGATGGCTCAGTGGGCAGCACTGCTGCCCCCCACCTTCTGGCTGCGTGTGGAGCTTGCAGGTTCTGGAGCTTGCAGGTTCTCCCTGGGTTCCCCTTGAGTCCTACAACAATCCACAGACATGCTGCCAGGCTAATTGGCATTGCTAAATTGCCTGTAGTGTGATGGGCTGGCAATCTGTCCAGGGTGCTCCCCAGCCTTGTGCCCGATGTTGCCTGAGATGGGATCTCCATGTAACCCTGATTAGGACGGATACTTTTTCATTGTTAAAGTTCTCGTTGTTTGTGTGCTTGGTTTGTTGCCAAATCTGGTTTGAGTCTAACGAATTAAGGATTTGTTCTCACTTTTAACCCTTGTTGTCCATGACACTCATTTTACACTTTGAGCAAACTCAGCACTTATGCTGGATGTGGATGTATACTGGTGATTGTTACCGTAAAGATCCTAATAAATTTGCATGAGGGATACGGTGAACTTGCCTTATCCCATTGTCAGGACTGCCATCCGTCACTTAATGCAAGACGTTTCAACATAGAATTTCTCTTCACCAGGCGAGCACCAGGTCCAGTCTGTGGTCCAAAAACCATCATGCTTTTGAAAGAAATCAGTATGTAATCAGCATTTTTAGAATTCTAAAAAAATGTCACTTGATGTCTCCAATTTTTTAAAATAGAGCTTCCAATATGCGTCACGTAAATGATAAAAGTAGCCCTGCTAACTAATCTTGTGCTGAGAGCCAGCGCCCATGACATAGCACCTGCACTGCTGGGTCTTAATCCATTCGTTTGAAATCCATAAACCGTGGTCCCCATGGAAACGCACAGGCCGCACTCCTCCTTCTACAAATACAAAACAATTCCTGTAGGGCTGTATTGAAACTGGCGCAACGTAAAACACTAAACAGTCTCTGGCTTGTTATTATTATTATTACTCTCTCCAATAACAAGCACATGGTTTACATGCACAGTTGTTAGACACAGGATTACTGCACTACTGGTTAACTTAGACGGCCCCTCCCACCAACTTAGACTCCCCCACAGCTGTTAAAATCGTCTATAAGCCATACTACCTCCTCTTATTCCTATGTCCAAGGTACAGTCTGTAAGCACTGTGATGCCAAAGACCTGTTTTCTCCACAGAGTCGGAGCCCCAAAATAGCAAATCCCTGCTTACACGCTACATGATCAGTGAGCACAATGGTCAGGGACACTTGATGTTATCTCAGAGAGTGTTAAACGTAGCAAGAGATTAAGGGGGAAAAAAGCAGGCTGAAAATGTCAAAACAGTTTTAAAACACCGATGACCTCAAATTTGACAAAATAGTAGCAACACAATAATTGAACTCATTTGCTTTTAATCAAGGTATCACATACAATCACAGTCTGAAAAGTACATCAATAACCCATTAGAGTGTGTTGGCATGGACCTCACACATACCTACAGACGTTACAATCTAGCAAATGGACATTCATTTTACAATAGAACTGTAGCGTTGAGATCTTGTTTAACTTCTTCAGACATAACCTTCAGAAGAACAAATGTCTACCTCATCAGGTAAAATGTGGTCATTTCAGTGTATAAGGACGCACCCTATATTCAAGAACTTTGGTATTTCCTTCCAATAAATGTACAAAAGTTCTTTTTCGGTGTGACATTTCTACCTATGCCCTCGAGTAATTAAATATCCAGTATACTTTGCATAAATATCTATTAATCTGTAGGCAGACAAAAATATTAGCACAGTCAGCGCACCATGCATCATTTCAGTATAAACTGTGAATCACAACCTGTACTGCTGAGGCTAATCAAAATACAGCAGGATGTTTAAATTTCTAATTAACGAGGTAAAAAGTCACATGAACACACATTATGGATTATGTGTAGGGACACTACAAATCAGATCTTTGTCCAAATATATAAGACAGCATACAGTTAAGATGAGATTTCAGGCCAGTGTTTAATTAGATTTCATTACAGATTTCCAAGCATGTAATTGCATTTACTCTAATTTGGTTCAGCAAAGCTAGATTGTCACGTAAACTACAGGCTTGTTTTTATGGCACACGGTGCTGTTTTAAGAGAATGCCAATCAAAACGGCAGCCTTTCCCTGTAATATGTCTGCCATGGCACATCAAATAGCAAAAGTCATCAAACAGTGTGACATCTCGCCTGATTAATGTCTGAACTACTTATTTTTAAGAGGACCCTAGCGTGCATGCATGCTACAGTCATGTGTGAGTAAGAATCAGAAGGCAAGTCAGATATAAGCAGGAATCATGTGAGTGTGTTAGTCAGTACAAAGACTTTACTATACGGTACACAGTCTACCTAAGCCACTCTTTCTAAGACCATTAGTTTTTCACTGCTACCATTAAAAGTTGACCCTACATACAGGCACTTTTTTAAAAAACAACATTCTTTTTAAACTTAATATACAGAGTACAGCTCAGTGTATCATAGGTGTAATGATCACGACCACACTGAGGAGATGACCTGAAGTTCAACACATCATAGGTTCACCTGACTGTACTTGATTTATTTTGATGGATGTTTCACGGAAATAAGAGCCCCTTAAGCAGGAACCAATCACAGCACACAACACTAAGCGTGGAGCAGAGCAGCCTTCATGATGAAGATACAAGCTTCACATCTGCTCGTGGCTCTGTCGAACGAGAATTTCCATCCCGACACACACTACCGACAAATACTGTTCCAGCTGATGATTCTTATGACCTAAAATAACCTGAATGTGACAATCCAGGATTTGGCAGGACAAACAAAAGCAGCGGGTGATCTTTCCTCCGATTCAAACCTCTGTCAAGCTACTTATTAGTGCCTCACCCTCCTGTAAGGACACGTTAGCACCAACTCACGGGGGGACCAGTTCTCCTCAGCAAATGGCCACAATAAGTTAAAGCTGTCTGCCACGTCCCCAGGAGGTGATGAATATGTGAGCGACGGAGATAAAAGTGAGACCCGCTGGCCACCTAAGGCCAGAGATTTGTTAGAAATAATTTGATTACAGGGCAGAATGAAAAATGAAACTAACCAACAATAATACCCTCATTAGCTTCTATTTTTACATGCTTACTCATCTCCTTTGGGCAGAGCAGACATCGGTCTAAACCAACTTCATACTAAAAATAGTATATTTAAGGAAGTCAATCAGCTATAAAGTCAAAAGCACAAAAAATATATCACAAAAAAAATCACATCCAAGAAGCTTTGTGGAATGCTCCACAGATACAGTTTATAAAGGCAGAAAAATAAGATTAAAATCCCCGAAATGTTGGACAGCTACTTTATATTTTTGGTGGAAAAACTGAGGTGACATACATTATATACAGTTTAAACATATACAGATTAAATGAAAATATTTTTGATGCAACATAATGAAACAATGTACAAATGTGCTGTTTAGTAAGGCTTATGGGTGACATTATTCATATTCTGTAATAACACTCAGATAATCAGGTAACTACTAGTCAAACTGATAGAAGCTGAATCAGATTTAGATTAAGAGGCAGGCATAACGAGTCCCACTCGCAGGCTCCCAAAACGCTGAAGGAGATTAAGACAGTGACATCGTTAAACTGTTCTCCAGGTTTCCAGTGGTTGGTTTTTGATACGCCACCCACCCTCCTCCAAAATCAGAGGTTGTGATCACAATCGAAGCTTGCATTTGCACATCAGATTACAATGAGACATCAAAGGGCCTCAATGTTCAAAGAATTTGTTTCAACGAGAACGAATTGCACACACGCATTCGGTCATCACTGTTGGCTGTGGCAAATTGCGTCCAAAAAATAGATTCAATAAACTGTATGAAATACAGAGTACAGCATGCATGTGTCTTAAAACGTTGACTTGTGTTTTGATCAGTTAAACATAAACTCTCTTGAAAATGTAAGCTTACATAACTAGAAAGTTCCTTTGATCCTATGACCAGCTGGGCAGATCTAAGGAGAACCAGGTCAATATGTCCTGTCCCGGGGTATCGACACACCTAGAGTCCCGAGAGGAGCTTCACCAGTGGGATCTCCCTCTCCCCCAGCAGAAGATCCCTCTTCAGACTGGTGCCCTTGTTGACCACCTTGATCTTGATGGCCAGGTTCTTCAACTGGGAGGAAGGCACAGAGTCAAAGAAGAAGTCCTCGTTGAAGATGGGGTTGCGGCTATTCTTGATTATGGTGCTCCTCTGCTTCTGCAGCTTGCCTGGGTTCAGGTAAATGGCCACGCAGCAGTTGATGCTCTTCGTGTCGAACAGCTTGTCGTACAAGTCTTCGGCCGCCAGGACACGGATCCGCAGACGGGCGGCACCGGGATCATAGTCGGTGCAGAGGCGCAGGTTGCCGCCCTTGTGCAGGTTCACCGTGTGCTCCCGGTGCTGCCGGTCTGGGCCCGGAAGGTGGTCCCCACCGGGAGCCATGGGACAGTGGATCCGGCGCTGGACACAGGGACTGGGCTCGGCAGAGCTGCACTCATCTGTGGACAGGGAGCTGTGGCGGGCGAAGGTCCGTTTGGCTTTCACCACCTTGGCCTGCGTCTCGTGGGTGAGGATCTTGAGCAGCGAGGCGGAGCGGGACAGCAGCGGGGAGCTGAAGGGCGAAGATTCCGCCGAGGAGCAAGTGTCGCTCTCGCCGCCGCTGAAGTAGCGGTACGGGTTCATGTGAGCGGCGCTGAAGTCCGCCGGGTTCAGGTGGTTGCCTTCAGCGGCGCCCTTGCCTGCGGATTTGCGTTGGGAGTTGGGTGAAGTGGCGGGACTCGTGTGGTCACTGTGGAAGAGGGACTCCTTCCTGCGAGTGTGGGGGCTCTCCATCAGAGTGGCAAAGCCGTAGGACGTCTGCGTCTTCGGGACGTAGGGGAGGGACATGGCCGTCTGAGACTGAGGATCGGCATTGGTGTCCCCAGCCACCGCTTCATCCGCTGTCTCGATCTGGATGATGTGGCGATTGGCCGCCTTCAAGAGGTTCTTGGTATCTCCTGCCAGCTTGCTGACCAACCGGGGGCTGCCCTGGGGCTTCTTGCCGCTGATGGCCTGCTCTGAGGTGGAGGGATGCGGAACATCCTTAGGCTTGGCGTCCAGCGTCTCCACCTCCGGGGGGCAACTCACCAGCTTGGGAGGGATGAAGAAGTCGGGGATCTTGTCTGGCGTCAGGACGTTGCTGTAGGCAGCGGCCTTGCCCTGCCTGTCCCCACCGTCGCCCTGACGCAGCACGTTATTCTCCACCGATCCACGGATCTTGTCCAGCACCCACATGCTTTCACAGGACTTTACTGGAGTTAAAAGATTGTCCTTCTCTGCAAACAGGGGCAGAAACAACCATTACAGACAAATACAAACATCTCTTAACTGCACCTCAAGTCTCACTGTGTCTCTTCGGCCTGCAAGTAAACTACGAATAGGACTTAAAATGTCAAGATGTTTACAATGCATGATGAACCCACAATTGACTATACATTCCTACCAGTCAAAACTACACGTCAAGTCCTCAATGATCCTCAAAATATACAAAAGTTCTTATTCAATAACCGTCAACCAAAAAAAATGGAAATTTACCAAGTTAAAAGTTTTACATCGGCTCTCAAAGCGAAATTATTAATAATTATATAGATGACAACTTTCCACAGGAATACACTGCCAGCTTGGCAAGAATACAGAGAAATGTCAAACTGTTTTGTTTGCTATCAAGTTAAATTAGCTCAAAGACTTTGTCATAACTGGCTCCTGAACAAAGAAAACTGTCCTTCAGCTGATAAAAACAGGAAATGTGCAAACATGATGATTCTAAGGTGCCTTTATATCTGCGATCTGTTCCTGCCATACAGAAAGGTCAACATATCATTTCAAAATAGCACTCTGTCCTTTCACGTCCTTTTCTCATTCTGTGCTTATTTTACCCATATAATCTCAGTTCTCAATTCAAATTAACAATGTTATTTGTAATATCACAAAGCCTGCATATTAAAAAAAAATCTTACATCTTTATTTAATCTCTTTCCTTCCTTTTTCCAGTTTTGCATTACTTTCTCTAATGATGTTTAATGTATCACAACACATCCATGTTGTGAAAGGCGCTATATAAAAATAAATTGAATTGAACTGAAAATTTCTGAAGTTTAAAAATAACTTTAATTGATTCATCCATCTTCTAACCAGTTACCCAGTACAGGACTGTGGTAATTACGAATGTTTAAATAAATTATGTCTAAATTTTCTAAATCATTGTAATGTGTATTAGAACGCCCTGTTGGGGATCTCAATGTGCTGTGCCCTGAGATGAAGGGGCATTCCATCCAGGACGTGCACCAGCCATGCATCCCGTCCTGACTGGGGAAGGACAAACCAGGCTTTATGTGCCTCTCTAGTATGTTGCTTTGATGAAAACCTGTTCCTAAATAAATAAATGTAAAGCAGAACGTGCAAATTCCGCATACAGACGTGCAGGGATGGGATTTCAACTCCCAGCACTTCGGATGTCAAGCAACAGAGTTGATTTATTCTTCAAGCATTTAAATTTAGTAATAAGATACAACTCGCTAAGAATTAGTGGAGAGGGTGTGCCGACATTCGGAGGCCTATCTAAAGAACGTCAAGGCTGGCTTGGTTCACCCTCCTTGTGTCCAGTTCTGGTTTTGTTTGGTACATTTTCATTCTGTCAGTCTAGTGTTCAGTTCCTTAGTTTCAGTGTTTCTTAGAGTTTCCTTGTCCTGTGTTCGATAGAGTAATTATTCCATCTGTTCTCCCTGAACCATTGCTATTGGTGGACTAGCTGATGCTTCACTCCTGCTTCCTTGTTAACCCGGTTCTGTTTGTGTACTTACAGTACGTTCCCACCTGTGTTTATTTCTTCGGTGAGTCATTGTTTGTGTTATGTTACTGTGTGTTTGTAGTTCTGTCTGTTTCCTAGTCCTGCTCCCAGATTTTGCTCTGGTTCCCTTGTTAGTTGTTCAGTTTTCTTTGTGGTTAATTTAGCTAGTCTCTTGAATTACTTACTCGGGTTTTACCCCTCATGGTCCCTTTACTTTGTGGTTTTACCCTTGCGCTCTTTTTTTATGACATCTCTTATGTTAGACGGGTCGGTGCCGACCCGTGTCTTAAATCAGCCATAAAATACCCCGTAATAATTATTTATCATCCAATTTGTTTCTTACCTCTTGGATACCTTGTTAGGCTTCCTTATCCATGAAAAGATTGGTTTTAATATTTTTGGTGTGGCCTTTCTTTTGACACCATGCCTCTCGCTTTCAATAAAAAATAATGGTAAAATAAACCTCAAGAGAATTATATAAATAAACTGAATTGGTCTTATCTACCCTTACATGTATGGGCATGCCTTGCCTTGATTTTGTTTTAATTTATTTTGCTTAAATAGAGATTCCTGACAAAGTCAAAAAGCCTTGATGCAGTACACACATTTATCTGGTGCATTTATGCATTTTAAACTTACAAACGGGTCATTGCCGACCCCAACACCAGAGTACATAGAATCTTGACCAGAGCATTTATAATTTAGCGATAAAAAAAAAAAAAGTGTGTTTAAATAGAGGTTCCTGACAAAGTCAAAAAGCCTTGATGCAGTACACAAATTTACATGCTGCTTTTATGCATTTTAAGCCTAAACACCACAGGAAGGTTAAATACACCTCTTTTGTCTTGGAGATGCAAGTGGATCATCCACCTTCTTTCTTATGCACCATGCCACACTGCTGTGACAAACAATTACTTTGGCATTTTTGGTCGTAATAAAATTCTTTTCAGGGCAGAAAACTTATGCCTTATGACTAAGCCCAGGAAGCACAAATTTGATTGCTAACATGAGGGAGGTCATGAGAAGTCCTTCAAAAACCTGGTTTTGCTGACCTGTGACTGTACCAGAGAATGTCAGAAGCCAAAGCTGAACCACAGAGAATGGTCCTGTGTGAATTACACTTGCTCGAGGGCTGAAATTACCGCTACAGTTACAACTTTAAGTTTATGTCAGATAGTGGCAGTTTTTGGTGGTTTCTGCGTTATGGTACCACCTGGCTTAGGAACCTTCGTAGTAAAATTACAGAATTGAACCCCCCCTCCCCCAGTTAGTTTGCTCCTGACCAGACACGTAGCCAGTTTGAACCCTCTTCCAAAATAATTTCTGGCTTCAGGACTGCCTGTTTATATTAAACAAGTTGAGGCACTTGCATTAAACAAACACCGTTGTTTATACTATTGCTCACAGAAAATTAAATGATGGATTACCCAGTAAATCCCAGTTGGTTCGTATAGTTATATTCACATTAAGACCAGTAGGCTTCATGGTGATATTCGTGACATACTTCGTGACTATCCGTTTTGTTTAACGTGTCAATCACACATACAAAATATGTATAAAGTGTTAGCGGGTTATGTGACTTAGAAAGGACGCACCTAATTACCATTTGGATTATAAGGAAATACCAGAACGAACAATATAATCACTGCAAGCCCCGGTACATGTAGAAATTCACTATACTCAAGGTGGATAATGCTGGCAACACTCGAATCTGTCATCTATGAATGATCCACATACAAACTCTCCATCCTTCCGATTGTCTAGAATTTTGCCATATCTTTTTAACCAATTACCGATTTTCTCTTAAATAGCATTTCTGTTATGATGGCTTAGAAAATTCTATATGCACTGTAATTATATGTAATTCGGTTTCCATAAATGGTAAGAAAATTACTCCCAATCAGTTTGACTTTTAAAAAGCGGCGTAGATTTCGGGAAGTACGTGTGAATTTTCCGTGCAGTCTAGTTTTAGAGGGCAGCACGCAGGCAATTGCAGGTCGGATTATGTGGAACAATAAATATTTGCTCGAGACAGTAACTATAATTTTAATTACCCACGTTTGATTTTTTGATTATACGTCGTAGTACATCGTGGGTTCGAACATCTATATAGGAAAACTGCTCACAAGAGAAATAAGTTGTAAATTTCATGTGTCGTTGTCATTGTGCTTGCAGCACTCATTAGGTATTATTACCCATGCACTTAATTCTACATTGAATGAAATCTACATGTGTTTGGTTTTAAAGTGCATTAAACAGAACGATACACGGGGTAATATAGTCTGTTCAACAAAATATAGCCCAACCAATATTTATGCAATAACTTCGTTTTATGTTAATCGTACAAGATAAATACAAAGGGGACGAAAAGAACTGGCGTCTATTAAAATTATTCGTTGTTTGAAGCGCTGTTTCGCATCGACACTTACTCACTTCGCCGATTATGCCGCTTATAACTTGGTAAAAAATGCTGGGCACAGCCAGTGCACACATAACGTAATCAGCGGCATCAAAAGTGGGGAAAAAACCCCTCAAAGGTCTCAATTAAAACTTCAACTTTCCTGTTCTTTTATCTTATGTTAAAATTATACATTTCACAGTAAGACTATAACATTACGACCTTTATTATGTGTTTTATCGCTTATTGTACTATAAAAGCTTTCTGCATCTGTATTTGCCCTTCACTTTATCCCCACTTGTAGGATTCACCGTAAGGGACTTACTGCGGGGTGGTGGGGGTCTGCAGCGCTGCTAACAGGCGTCTCCGCGGCTCCGTCACTTGCGCTGCATCCTTCCTTCCAACTTGTCGCAAACTCGCACCGCCAAGGCGGCTCTCAGCGCGTCCGCTGCCCATTATATGCGCAAACCGCGGCTGCCAGCTTTCCGTCAGCCAATCAGATAAGCGCAGCGTTTATCCTCAGGTGGCCGTCAGCATCCAGCGGTGTTTCCTACATGCTTTCCAGAAGAAACACTTTACATTAAAAATAAAATCCCGTGTGCGTCTTTCGATGCTGGTTCGGTAAACGGGCGATGTGATTGGGTCATAGTCCCAAAGAAAAACAAACCCATAACCAGTATGCATTCAGGCTTATCAACTTTGGTCAGCTGGCTGGAGTGAAATTTTCAATTCGAGACAAGTCTGCACCCATATGCGCACGCATTTGCATGTATGTAACGGTTTTATTACCATGTAAATAGTCTGTAGGGTTTGCAAACTACTCCAACGCTTTTGATGTAGCCAATTTTAGATTTATAAAAGGAATAATAGATTTACCGCAAGATTTATTTGTGAACGTGAGAGTCTGAAGGCTTGAGTGTCACGCCAGACTCGTGTTGCAATCCTGTACATTATAATATGAAGAATCGCAAGACGTTAACGATCTCCGTTTTTTTCCTTCCTTCGTAACCATTGTAAGTATGTACGTGTACGCCCGCTGTTCAACCGCTGAGCTTCTTGTTCAACATTTTCTATGACGTTCCTCATTTCTACTTACAACTTACGTTTGCTTTTTTTCCCCATCTCTAATTCATTTATCTGACACCTTTATCCATGGTGACTTACAGCGGAGGGAAAGGTTAGAATTTGTGTGTGTCCCTGGGATCTGAACCTATGACCTTCATATGGTTAGCACAATGACCTACTTGTCCTACAGGAGCTCAACCACAATAGAATATGAATCTGGTGTTCAGGCATAACTCATTGGTTCACAAATGCCCTGTTTACACATGGTTTTAAAACAAGTCTTGGACGATCGGATCACACGTGGACAACGATAAATACAAGTGTAAACGACCACCAAGATGTGTTGTAATCAGATTATACAAACCACTTGCTGAGGTGGTCTGGGATGCATTTCATCACATATGTTTTGTAGTATAAATGTTAATGCATCCCCAACAAAGATGTCAAAGTAACTGTGCATGGAGCCATTTGACCTTCTAGCAGAAGTGACACACGCAATAAGGAGATCTAAACACGTGGTAAGTTTGGCACCTTGGAGACGCATGATAAACAGGTGTAAACGACGATGAGGCTACTGCCCACCTGTGATGCGATTGCCAAGACGCATTTCAAAACCAAGCGTAAAAAGGGCCCGAGTGTTGCATTCAGTTTTATACAACAGCTGAAGAACCATTTGATTGTCCATTTCGACAACACAAAGCATCCTGTATTTCAGGAAAAAAAAACATTAATTAACCTTTCAATCAAATGTGATAAGTTTGGGTGGCTGCACTCAGTCTGAATAGATACAAAAGCACACATTAAGCCTGTGTTTTAGTAGATAATGTGCATAGTGGGTGATTGATTCAGAAAACCCACACAATATGGAAACTTAAAAAAAAAAATTCAAAAGATATCCAATGTACCATTTTCTCCACCGGCTGCTGTCTATTTACGGTGTGTTGCCATTGGCAACAGAAGCACCCATTTCCAAGCATTTGGCGATAAGTAGCCATTCTTCCTCATCACTCTGTGTGAGGCCTGGTGTTTGGAAGTGTGACGTCCATCCTGTAGCCCGCGCTACAACAAAGGGCAGCATTCCGGGCGTCACTCTCTCTCTCTCTCCCCCTCACACGGAAAACGCCAGAACAAACCGAACATCCCACCGAATTCAGCATTTCTGGGCCACGTGGCCAGCGGAGGAGATCAGATCCACAGGCTCTTCCATAATCAGCAGACAAACAAGTCAAAAAGTCACAAAAAAAAAAAAAAAAACAGCTGCAAATGTCCTGCCTCCTACTAACAGAGACTCTGCATTGAATCCCTGGCCTTTCACACTAATGATGAATTAACAAACACAGATATTTAACACCACTGCTTTGAATGAACAGTCAAGCACTTCGGCATTCAACATATCCCTGGCCTGTAAAACACTGTGCTGCAGAAATGGAAAACTCAAGCAGATGAGGCTTAACTATAGTCTAGGGGAGACAGGACATGAATCTATTCCTAAAGGACTACCATCACCACGTAGTTGTATTCCCAACTGCCACTTTGTTGAATACCATGTGTTGGTGTGAAAATGGGTCCTACCATTAACATGGCAGAGGTTGCAAATTCAGGTTCAAAAACCACAAGTCCAGAGAGCCGGTTTCCCTCAGTTCTGCACCATTCCATCACCATTTCACATCGTTTCGATGCCCCCCCACCCCAGCAAAATAAGAGGGATTGTGTAGCACAAAAATGCCACCAGATTCTCAGAAGATGCATTAAAACCTGAATCTATAAAATGGCAATATTATTAGGGGAAGAAAAAAAGGCGCATTAATAAATAAATAAAATAAAAAAGGTTGCTTTTTTAGTCATGAAGTTTTTAGGTGAACTGAGATTGAGTTCATAATAATTCCTTTAATAAAGCAAATGTTTTTCCATCTCACTGCACACACACACACTTGCACCTCAAGGCTGAGTACCCCATTTCCAGTGATCCAACCTTAAGTCTGATTAAACAGACCTCAAATTTCAATCCATAAAGCATCTGCCTAAACCAAAAGAACCAGAGACATGCCTTTCGCTGCCCTCTACAGGCTAAAGAAGGTAGCTCACATCAGGGTCAAACCCAAGCTTTTTGTCAATCCGGCAACACAAGACCAGTTTGACTATGGGTATTAAAGAACACTAGTCATCAGAACTGGTGGTGGCTAGCAGATTTATATCAAGAAGCCTTGCACCCGAAACATTATTTACACTTTGAAACTGCAGTTGGACCCCCAGTTCCAAGAAAAATTTTCCAGTGTACTCCACCACACCCAGGAAGCATGTCGGAAAGCTCATTTTAAAAAGGACGAGGATTCTTCTAATAAAGATCTTTATTTCAGTTTTAAATAGATTTACAAACCATATGAAAAAAAGGAAACAAATATGTTCACTTGTGCATATCAATATTAAGGTAGATATTGTAAACAGTCGAAGCAGAGGGGAGAGATCATGAAACTGAGAAATTGCAGAATTGTTTTTTAAAATCATCCTGAGCTTTTAGTTTTGCAAAGTTGTAGCTTAAGATCCCATACGGATGCAGAGACCAATACTCTATATAAAAAATACAAATAAACTAATACAATTTATAAACCCTGCACCTTCACAAATTCACACCCAGCAAAAATACACACTTTGAACGAAGAGAAGGGCTTTAGCTTGGGGATTCCTAAGAAAATCCTGCGATAACTATGCTTGTTCAAATCCTGAATTACAGGCGAAAAAGGTTTAAACAAACAGGATGTCTGCAAGGCAGATGCTTGTAAGGATTCCCAACATTTCTTAAAAGAGCTTGAAGCAGTTCTTCATGACTCTGCATGTTTGAAGTGATGCACAAGTCATGTTTCAATAACACTTAAATAGAGCAAAAGGATAATTAGCCATCACTGTTCTGTGAGCAAACAGATTTTTTCCAAATGTTTCACGATATGCATATGATAAGAAGCAAATTTATCCACATTGTTGGGCTTTTAGGTGTAAGCACCAATTACATAGCTACATGCCAATTTGACCAGCCAGACACATCCCCCTTTTTTTCCCCTCACAGAAACTGATCAAATCAAAACGCCAAAACAGCAGAAGGAAACACCGGAAGACACTGATTTTTAAAACCCCCTTGGGCATATAGAGAGTTCAGTGAAGAGTTCGTACTTTAAAGTTTTGCTGACTTCAATGACCAATGGGGAATGTGTAACCCCTTGTAGGCAGACAGAAAGCTAAGAAGCTTGCATGTGCAAATGCTTTTTCCTGACGACACAAGCCCACATTTAAAGGGATCACTCCAAGTATGAACTCGCGCCACTGCTAGAGGCTCGACAATCCAACGCTGCTCAACCAGTGGGGTACTTGTGGGGACACGCCTGGAACCCGGCTAGCATGAAGAGCTCAGACGGCTTGCCACAGGCGTGACCGCTGACCATTTCGCACTCTTGGTGCTTGTGTGGGTCTTCCTCATCATGCAGAAGAAAAAAAAAAATTCAGATATTCCAGGCTATTGCTTTCTGAAGTATGAGACACGGTTTCTGTTTGAGAGTTTGATACAAGACCTTGGGCACCTTCACGCGGCACCATCAGTAGCTAAGTCCCACATAACCAGCCGGTAGAATCATGCCTCCACACTCACTCTTTCACAGACTTAAGGCTTTTCATCTTCTGCAAGCTGTAACCTCTGGCAAGCCAGAGCTAAAATACAAAATGTGCAAATATCGGCTGAAGGAGCTGCTTAGTACACAGGTTGGGACACGGACTGAAACTGAATGGTTCTGGGCCTCGGCGGAGAGAACAATACTTAAAGAACAGATCGAATAACCAAGATCACAGAAAATTGTTAAAAACTCCACTGCTTTTCACTGGATCTGACTTAAAAACACGCGGGTATGGCCGTCCAAAAAAAAAGCTCAGTTGTCGATCATGAAAATGACTGGATGACTGGGGGGGGGGGACCGCAAGGGGGCAGTCAGGACTCCTCCGTCCCCGAGTCATCCTCATCATAGCAGCAGTCCTCCTCATCCTCATCTTCATCGTCCAGGTCCCTGTCATCGTAGTAGTCATCGTAGAAGAGGGTGGAGCCCTCGTCCGGCGGCGGGGCGCGGGTGCGAACGCAGTACTCCGCCAAAGTGGTGGGGACCTTCACTCCATCTCGGTCGGCGTCCTCTTTGGTGGCCAGCACCTGTTTTCTGTGAAACAGGAGAGATCCAGCGAGATCTGAGCCAAAAGAAAAATGCTCACAGCGCGAGTTCCTGCCGACTCTGGGCCGGAAGTGGGCCTAACACGGCGCCGCACGACTGCGATGGATGGAAAGCACTCCACCAAAAATTAAAGCAGACCGTGTAGAACATCAGGAAAAGTTGACAATAGAATCACTTTCGTATAAAGATAGGGAGAAAACACTTCACCGTTTCCTAGTAGAATCACTTAATTCTTTGGAAATTAGTCCTTAATGACACAATGGAGACAACAGTAAGTGTAAGAACAGGGCTGTTGGTCCAACAGCCATTCCCGGTTAAAAAGGGAGCATAATTCTCCTGAATGATCAGGCAGGTTTCAAACAGGGATGTTCGAAACACCCAGGGAAACTCTGATAGGCAGAAAGGGTGACTGCTGAAGCCAATTTATTATTACTGCATTTACAACAATTCAGCATTGATTTGCAACTGAGGGGGCGGGGCGCGGTTTCTGTGCCCGTGATTGGAAGATCACCAGCTTGAATCCTGGCCTCGGCAAACAGTCACATGACTGTGAGCCCTTGAGCAAGGCCCTTAACCCCCAGCCCCAGGGGTGTCGACTGACCCTGCGCTGTGAGCCCCAAGCTATGGAGAGCTGGAAGGGGCAGACAAAGAACTCCAACGTTCCCGCACACGTACTTGTGCAAATAAATGATTTAAATCGCTGGCATTGGCGTCGCCTTTACGGTCATTACCAAACCACTGCATGCACCGCACTGCAAATGAGGCCTGACCAAACTGGGCTGCTGCACGCAGCTGCTCTCCTGCCTCGGCTGGCTGTATGGACACCTCCCTACATACATCGCGAGTGAGCCAGAGCGTCCGCTCAGTCCCCCCGCCGATGCCAGCTCATCGCCAGTCGGTTACACATGGGGCAGTAACTGGCCTTGCCGCATGGACAGGGGAGACGTACATCTTAAGGAAACAAACTGCGATGAACTGGACAACGTAAATAAAATCTGTGTTCCAGGATTGGCAGACGCCACGGCAGCGACAGCCCGTTTTCCTCCCAGAGTCCCTATCAAGCGTGTGCGCGTGTGCACGGGTGCCCCCCCCCCTCACCTGATGATGTCGCCGTACTCCCTGTCCTTCCCTTTGCTGTCCCGCCACTTACGGTACATGACCGACGCGTCCACGTTGGCTGGGGAGAAGGTGTTGGGCTCATTCAGCAAGGAGATCACGCTCAGCAGGATGGTTCTGGGGGAGCAGTGGGGGGGGTGGGTCACTCAGAGCATAACCATGCAACGACAAGCCAGTGACACATTTAGGGAACAGAATAAAGCCTGACAGTAATGGGATTTCAAATACTATTTTACACAGACAAAAGCAGAACTGCATGTGAACAGAGTTGGGTGCAATCATCCTTACCATACAGGACAGCAGCTGTTGAAATTAATCAAGATTCAGGCTTTTCTGGGACGTATTCTTCTGATATTTAAAACCTGACAATCCCCCCCCCCCCCCCATCTCTAAATAGAACTAGTAGGAAACGTCTCTTACCATCAGGTAAATTAGGATCTGCATCAAACCAGATAATCACAGCAAAGCACGTCTTTTAACCCCAGGAAATCATTCTACTTTTTTTTTGCATCCATTTCATCAAACAGCCATCTTACACCGAATGAAATCTTTCTCCCAAGCTTAGTTAAATCTCATTTGGCTCTCGTCTGACCACAAGTCAGAATTCCCACTGTGCGCGACAGCTAACCTGCTCATATACAAGCAATTTCTCACCCACACCAAATAAGGCACAATCAGGAGGGCATTCACCTGTGGGGCTATACTTAGAAGGGCAGCGAGCCCCCCCACAATAGCTTTACAAAAACAGGTCCGGAGAGCCATGCCGTTAATCTCAGGGACTGGGGTCTGCAGAATGCCTCGTGCCGGGGTAATAAAAGGTCTACACTGGCATTTGTTTGCTATGCACGCCACCAATCACGCGTGCCACGCTTTTCTGGGCTAAGATACACGAGACTATTTTTATTAGCTGTTGTTGCCAGGCCAACAGAAACACCCAGGACGTAAGGATCACGACTGAGATTGGAGCGGATGGCAAGGGGCGTACGGCCGAGGTGAGGAAACGTGGATCAGGGCACGGGGGAAGAATACACACCACGATTCCAGGATTCCTTAAAAATTACATCCATCTTCAATGACAACTAAATCTAGGGAACTGTTTATATCAGAGGTTCACAACTATTCTTCCCCATAGGCCAAATTCCAGCAGCAGCTACAAAGTCAAGATCCACGGAGACCACAAAAAAAATTCTATTTTAATTTGGTCCGGGTGTAAACCGCAGTCCTCCAATACTATCCATTACTATCGGTTCACATAGAGAAAAAGACCGATACATTTATGCATCAAACTAACTACACTACACTAACTACAAATTAAATTCTTCACAGTGGGGCTCTCAAACAATTCAAAATTTACAGACTAGGAGAAAGGGGACAGGACAGCGTTGCACAGGAAGAGGAACAGGAGGAAGATGGCAGAACACTAGTGGAGGTACGTGGAAAAGCACTGCAATGGGTTTGATAGATACAGCAGAGAACCGGACGGACGGCAGGGAAGCGGTGCGGAGGGTACCTGACGTTCTGCGTGGGGTTCCATCGTTCCGACGGCAGCTCGCCGCTCTGGGGGTCGTCCACTGGCGGGTGCAGGATGGAAATGCACACGTCGCCATTCTGCGGATGCAGAGGGACTCCGACAGTCAGCACAGCAGAACCTGGGCTTACAGATCGGAGCACGGCCGGATGGAAGGAGGGGCGAGCGATGCCGCGCCTTACCTCATAAATGTTAGGGTGCCACATTTTGGTGAGGAATCGGAAGGCGGGCGGAGAGTAGGGATAATCCACAGGGAATTTGATACGGGCCTAGAAGTGCGAGACAACCAGTCATTGACAGAGGCCGGTAACTGTAGGGCCAAGCAGGCGCAGACTCCTCCACCGTACAGCAGCTGGCTGTCCTGACGCTGGGGGGCAGCTCAGGCTCCAACACCCCTGCCTCAGGGACGGCCAAACAGCACCGGTACAAGTCAGCCATTATATCCTGCCCTCCATTAGGAAGAAGGTGATGATACATAACGGCATTAAAACACCACACAGAGAGCAGTGTGACGACAGCGGGACTCAGAGAGACCGCATTAGTCACTGCCAAGGCACATTACAGAGAAAATTATTAAATATACCCATTATTAAAACAAACACCGAACCTATCATTTTAGATAGGAGGCAAGACCCACTGCTGCCAACAACTGAGAGTTCAAGAGGTACTGCAGGGGACTAGAATGACCCCCAGATGTCACCGAGACAGGAACACTCCATCGCCCTTCAGAGAGAAGGGGGGAGCCACTCAGCCACACCGTGGGACTGATGACGGGTGTGTAAGAAAGACAGAGTTAACAGGTGGGGGGGGCGGGAGCTTTCTAAAAGGGCAAAGAAGACATCCATCTCAAAACAAAGATCGACAAAAAAAAACACACCAGAACTCAAAATTCAAAATGTCAATTACTTCACTGTATAGCGGCATTATGCGTATAAAAAAAAAGGCAGCTGTAAGTGTTAAGGTCAGAGTGTTGGCAGAAATCCTGCACTGCTTTATGTAAATACCAGCCACAGAGCAGAATCAGTGTGCGGACGTCTCATATTAACACCAAGAAGATTAATTTCCAGGAGCAAGGGAGCAGGTCGAACGAAACAAGGCGCCCTGGCAGACCGCTAATGTCATCGCATCACAAAAGGTGCGTTACACAGGCTGCGCACTGCCTGATCTCGGAGCACTGCCTGATCTCGGAGCACTGCCTGATCTCGGAGCACTGCCTGATCTCGGAGCACTCTCCTACAGGGCTGGAAACAAAGCAAATATCTCGGAGACGCACGCAAAGTCTTTACTGAAACCTGCACTGGCTCTTCACAACCAAGTATAGCACATACTACAACGCAGATCTTCTGTTCTAGAGTGCGAGTAACAGGCCACAGTATTTTCCAAGCACACAAGGGACAGAGACTAATGACAATCGGCTGTGCAAGGACTGTAAAAGGAACCACACCTCAGAGCTTCAGACGAACACAGTTAAGTGATTTATGCATCCCAAGGCAGCTGAAAGAGGTTAAACAGCCAAACTGATAAGAAACATCCCTCTAAAGTAACAGGATAACATGTCCAACTCCTGCTTTGATAATCAGCACATTTTGACCAATAGAAGATCCTCCATGAGGAAGCATTCTTTCCATAACTTGTGCCAGAGAGAGAAACAGCATAATGTCAGACTCATCCCCAGTGCTCAAGCATACCAAGGTTTTAAGGCATAAGAGACGCCACCTCGATTGTTAACTCGCACAAAAGCTACGCTATGAATGAAGAAGAAATCGACTGAATATCAAGGCTGATTTGCGTGCATTGGGGGGCTTATACTGTGTTACAACATCTGCACCAAAAAGACGAGGGGATGATGACCTAGAACGGAGTTCTCCAATTCTGAAACGCGCTTTGCCGATTTCCCTGCTCGTACACACCTACTAATCCTGGCGAATGGCTGGTGAGCTGAATAAGGTGTTTGAGCAGGGAAATCTGCGAACAGGCCCTCCAGGACCGGAACTGGGGAAACCCTGACCTAGACGGTAAAGCAGAGGCTCTGGGAAGCACTACAGGTCTATTAGCCGTGGAGGTGAAGGCAGACATACCTGCGAGAGCCTGACCTCTTTGCCGACCTGAAAACCAGACTAAGGAAGTGAGGAATGAGACCACGACTGGGGCCAAGGTATGACGTAGAGGAGCCCCAAACATCCTAAGCACGTTTGTCTTCACAGCAAACGTTCCGACACACATTCCTCACCCAAGCAAGTGATACTTGATGGACAGATAAAGCATTTGTTCAAATCTCAATTCAGAAGACCACGTTGTGCTATGCCAGGACATGAAACTACCCCCACCCCCCGCAATAAACAATAATTACATGTTGATGTTTATCTAAAATCAGTCTAGCGGAATACCAATTACTGTAATCAGCTAAACATTTATCCAGTCTCATTTGGGCATTTCAATATCCATCCAGAGCACCAGGGAACCAGTCCGCAAGACCAGGACTGCAGCATTTTTGGGACTCAAAAGGCGCATATCTGGACGTGCACATGCTCATATCGCCCAGGCAGTAATTCCCTTATCAGTGGTGACGCCGTGTTTTTCGATGAAACTCAAAGGCTACCTCAGCGCTCAGTAATTTCATGACCAGATACACAGCAGAAACAGTTTACTCGCCAGTGCCAGAAATGTCGGCCTCCCTCCCGCCGGCGAGCCCCGCGTCGGCACTCAGACGCACACAGCAGCGCTGAATGAGGGACTGTTCAGGCTCAGAAAAGCAGACTCTCCCAGGTCCCAGCATACAAGCAGGGCTTTGTTCTAACTGAATTAGAACATGAAGTGAGTGCAGTCTGCTCTATTTGATTGACAGGATTGTGACAATATCGATATGCCGAGATATTTAGGCAGAAGTATTCCTTAACAGAAGTTCACCATTTTATTACTGCTGTTAAAAATAAATAAAAAAAAAAAAACAGCAGAAAATATTTGCAGCTTAAGGACATCATTACGGGAAATGGTCTGGCACCTTCCAAAATGGAAAACAGTGCAATTTTCTTCAAGACATGCATAACCAGGTCTGCAACACCCCTTCCCCAAAAAAGGGGGCTTTAAAGCATGGAAGCGGCTTGGGGGGGTACATATTTGATTAGGTGGTAGAAATATGCCAGCTGCCACACATGAAGTCAGACACCGTGCCACACATACTGGCTACCATTCAGCTCTAGGTTATTTCCCCACAGCAGAGACCAGGGGGGTATTCCACGAAAGTAGCTAAAGAAAGCCAGACTTTCCCAAAAAAGTCAGACTCAAACTAGCGACATCTCTAAACTTAGCCTCATGTCATTCCACTAACGCAGTTCAGCTTTAACTAATCAAGGTTCATACAAAAAGACTTGCATAGTCTCACTTAGTGCACATACCTGAGATATTTAAGAAGCCCAAATGAATGGATGAACGATAGATCGATCAAATGAGTCGGAAATCGTGTAAAACGAGAGTGGTGTTTTTTTTTTCCCCGCGGCAGAACAATGGCTGCTGATGGAGCTGTATGAAAAATGCAAAAGATGTAAATCGTTAAAAAAGGCAATATTGTGGCCATAAACACAGCCAGAGAGTTGGCTTGGCAATGAATTGCAGACAGACTAAATGCAGTGGTTTATGCTGTTGCCTTACACCGCAAAAGTTCCAGATTCAATCCCCATATCCAACGGGGAACCTTCTGGGTTGAGTTCACGTGTCATTCTTACTGTATAATGTTATTCTGTATTATTTGATCTCCATAAAATACTTTCATTCGCATTTGTGTGAAATGTTCGGCACAAATAACCATATTGTATCTTTGCTTTTTACCAATAAACCTTCAAAGTAGACTGACTAAACAAAATATAAAAATATCTTCCTGTACATATTATTGTAACAGATTTTTCTTAAATTTCAATCATTGCATGTCATGTTTCACATTTGTAATATGGGTACGCTTTTAATTATTTTGGAATTGGAATGCTGAGATGTGATTTTTACAGGCTTTTATTATATTGATCACATGACACGAGTAGTGAGAGCGCAGAATTTCATCCTAGTGAACAATCATTTGGGAATCTGCTCAAACACGTCGGACGTTCTTTGAGACCATGCTTAACTAAGCAAGACCGTTAACTTGGTCTGGAGCGACAAGTTACCATGGCAGCACAGTGGGGATTCATTTAAGACACGTTGATGGAACGGAACTCGCACTTAAACGAGCCAGACTTGTCGAAATAAGTCAGACTTCCCCTTACCGCTGCCCCAGGAAAGGAGGATAAAAGCAAGCAGGCAGAAGAAATGCAGAAAGAGGTCAACCCTTTAGCTCAGGGCCAAACCAATTCCGGGCCTGGATCACCAGTCCGCGACACAGTTTGCAGATTTCCCTGCTCAAACACACTTAGCTCACAACCTAAGTGCCAGGATTAGTGGGCGTGTTTGAGCAGGGAAATCTGCAAACTGTGTCGCGGACTAGCGGTTCCCAGAATTAGGGGGCCCTGCTGTACATGCCGGCCGGCTGTTCCTGTACAACCTTTTATCCCCACCAACCAAACGCCGTGAAACAGTTCAACCCTAATAGGCTGCGGCAGCGGCAGCGGCACTACAGATAAGGAATAATCTGAATTTAAAAAGTAAGGTTATTTCTAACAGCAATGAACTACCAACACAGGAGTATAAATGAGCTAGAATCAGTATACCTGTATCTTATATACATCTACAGAAATGTACTTTTAAAGCAGAAAATACAAAACGGGTCATTTAACACCCATTTCAAGCACATACAGAAACACTTTAATGACCTGATAACATTGTGACCACCGTGGGCTTTTAAAGTGGCTGAAGTCCCATTTCAAATATATTTAAGACAGTGGGCTTGATTCCCATCACGTTTAATCAACAGTATGCAAATTGCCTCTCAAAAGTTAAAGTGGAACATAATGCCGAACAGTGGCTGGGACTCGATGCAACCGTTTCAGCGGAATGCATTATAGGAATAACATCCTCCTGCCATCTTTCTTCTTCTGGATACCCAAAGGTCTGGTATGGCATTTGGCGTTTGTGTTCTGTAGCCAGCATGCTCACAATGAACAGCCTGGGGCTCACAATGAAGGCAGTCACAGCTCATCTAAGCAGCTCTTTTACAGAGTGCATGTAGAACGGCAAAAATAATTTGTAGAAACTATTTTCATAGGTTCCCCCAAAACCCCCTTCAGCACAAGCAGCACTAAGTTTTTAAGAATTGTGTTAATATGGTGACCTGAAAGGTAATGTTCTGAACTAGCCAAGCCTTTATACAGTGACCCTCTAGGTGATATACATGGTGCCACTGTGATGGATTCAGATCCAACTCAAATATAATCCTAACAACAGATTTCGGTATGAGCAAGGTTATGAAAAAGGAATCAAAAGTGAAACCATTCTTCTGTCTTCGGATGCTTTCAACATCGACTTTCAGCTACATCAGACCCGATCAAGTACGACAGGTCCCGTCTTTGCGTCTCTGTTTTGCAGAATTGTTTTACATCTCATAAGCAAAAACTTTAGTCACCAGGTTCACCCCCTGGGAATTGAGGCCACCTCCCCCCCACTCGACTCAAGTTAACACTAAAATCTGTGTTCTGCGGGTAGTTGACCAATAGGTAACGGGACGAGGGGTGCTTTACTCTGGGATACACTACACTTTGTTGCCGGGCAAAACAGACCACATGCAAATGATACCACACAAAGCTTACACTGACAGCTGGGGATCATAAAACAAAGGGGGGCAGCCACATGGCACGGTCACGCTGACTGGTTTACCTGCCTGCTGAAAACATGGCAAAGGAAGCAGAACCGATCCGCAGGACCATCAGCAGAACCGTGGCCGGTTAAGTAACACGCAGCTTGTTTGGCAGCAGGGTGCAGCCGCTGAGTCAACGCCAAAATATCGAAGTCTTTTAAAAACCAGTTCACGTAGCACTTCGTAAACTTCGAACTGCACTGCACGTATGCGAGGCCTATTTCCTATTCACGGTTTCATCGAATGGCAACAGTTCATATTAAAAAAGGCGAGCGGTTAATTATTCCAGCTATAAATTTAGTACAAGCAACAATGCAAGTTCAGCCAAAAGAACCCTGTAATAATATTGATACCAGCACCTCAGGAAGTATACGGTGCCCTTATACTTCATACAGTCCATGTCCAAGTGTGATACTTGATTTAAGATTAAGTCGCCCCCTGTCCAGAGCTAGTTTAGCACAAGGGCAAATAACTTTGCCGCGAACGCAAAACTTGTAGAGGGGAACGGGGGGGTTAGATTAGTAGTAGAAGTGAAGGCCGCAGTACCGGGGACGGAAACCGACATCCCGTTTGGGGGGGGGGAACGGTATGAAGCGAAACAAAAGGGTCCCGAAGGAAGCGCCACAAGCCGGCGGACACGTAGGCGACGGGCGGCGATGGAGGAAAACGGCCGAGAGGCGAGAACCCAGCGGCACAACGAGGGGGAAACGGCGTTAATGTGGCGTCATGTAACGTTAGCTAGCCGGCGTCGGCTGTTAACCACCCAAGTGCAACTATCAGCACTGAAAAACGAGGACATTCTGAGCTTTTCCTGTCTCTCCAACTTTGTAGTTCCGATTCTCGTCCCACCGCTGACACATTTTTACGGCGTGAGCAGGAACTTCTCTCGGTGCGTTACTGTGACTCCCCGATACTCACCTTAAAATAGCCCCCCTCGTAGTGGGTGTTCGGGGGTCCGAATATCGCCACTTCCCAGTTGTAGAGGTCCGACTCGTCCACTAAAGTAATCTTGAAGCCCTCGACCGGCTCTTCCTGGAGACTTTTCAGCTCCAGCATTAGCGCTTTCTGGGAGCTGGCGACATGGTGATGTCCGGGCTGAGCCATTCTTCCGTTACTATGTAGCCGCGTTTAATACTTCTGACCTGCAAAGACACGGCGCGCCTCCGAAAACCACCGGCCTCGCTCTGGACCGACCCGTTGGCGCCTTTGTTCCCGTGGGCTGTCGGGCTTGGGGGGCTGCTTTTCCTCCTAGGTGGAGCCCGATCGAGCCGGTGACAAAAGTGACGGAGCCCGAGCAGCCCAGAGCTGGGAGCCCTCTCACCGATCCGCCCTTTCCCCCTAGGCACAGGACTTACGGCGGAGCTCTCCGTCCACTACAGCCTTAACCAGATAGTGAGATATCAGCATGTATTACACGACTTACGGCGACCAAGGGCTGAAATAAAGTGTGCAAAAATCCAACAAACGAACAAACACACGCTGTTAAGAAAAGTCTTGTCTTTCAGTTTGCTGATACTTTACGCGGACCCCTTCAAATAAACCCAGTCACAGAGAACATATAGTTACACCGTGCATGCTGGGAAATGAAGTTTCGGAAGTCTTCACGGGACCGTTTAGTCGAATGATGTTTGATCAAGACACTTAATGTGTTCTAACTTTTTAGGCCCGCGGGCGATTGGAAGATTAAGGGAAGCGTGTTTGTCAAAAAAAAAACATAAATTAAATATCATTCGTTCTTGGCCAGGTTCGTAGAAAAGTCACAGCAGGTGAGGCTGCTTAAATTTGCAGAAGAGGCACTCCAGCTATTAATTAAAACGTTAATAGGTGAAAAAAGCAACAAATTTGTCGGGATTTAAAACGGGTGCGCATTATTTACATCACTTTATTCATCCATCCATCCATCCATCCATCCATCCATCGTCCAACCCGCTTATCCTACTGGGTTGCGGGGGGTCCGGAGCCTATCCTGGAAGCAAGGCAGGGAACAACCCTGGACGGGGGGCCAGCCCATCGCAGGGCACACTCACTTTATTCATTTTTTTGTTATTCTTTACAGTTGCTCTGGAGATGAGTGGACTAGGCATATATAGTGGTTGGACAATGAAACCCAAAAACCTGGTTTTAGCCCACAATAATTTATTAGTATGGTGTCGGACCTCCTTTTGCAGTTTGTCTTGGGAATGACAGATACAGGTCCTGCATGGTGGCCAGAGGGATTTTGAGCCATTCCTCTTGCAGAACAGTGGCCAGGTCACTATGTGATGCTGGTGGAGGAAAACATTTCCTGACTCACTCCTCCAAAACACCCTAAATTGGCTAATTAATATGTAGATCTGGGGACTGTGCTGACCATGGGAGATGTTCAGCTTCACTTTCATGTTCATTAAACAGTCTCACCAGTTTTGCCTTGTATTAGTGCATTATCATCCTGATAATTAGGACCACATGCAGGGTACAATGTTTGAACCACTGGGTGAACATGGTCCTCCAGAATGGTTCAGTAGTCCTTGGCAGTGATGCCCTATCTAGAACAAGTAGTGGGCCGAGAGAATGCCATGATATTGCAGCCCAAGCCATCACTGATCCACCCCCCTGCTGCACTCTGGGTACGCAACTGTTTGGGTGGTAAGTCACTTTGGGGCTTCTCCGCACCATGACTTTTCTGGATGTGGGAAAGACAGCGAAGGTGGACTCATCAGAGAACAATACCTGTTTCACATTTTTCACAGCCCAAGATGTGCACTGCTGGCAGCACTGAAATCAACGTTTGGCTGGAGCAGCACTACCATGAATATTGACCTTGTGCAGTTCCCGATGAACAGTGTTGGTGGGAACAGGCGAGTTGAGGTGCACATTTAATGCTCCAGCTGTGGTTTTATGGTTTTTTTTGGATACAATCCGGGTGAGTAACCCGCTGTGGCTCTTGATTCAGACTTGCTGTCCTGGTCACAGATGCACCAGCAAGATGCACACCAACAATTTGTCCTCTTTTGAATTCTGTCTCTCATTACGTGTGGATTGCAATATTGTACGTTCAGCTGTGCTATTGCACTGCTATTTCAACCATCACACTCTGCTCTTAGTGATGGAATGTGCAATCAGTGAAGATTAGCCACCAGGCTGCACACATATAGGTGTGAAACCTCAAACACTATTGACCAGGTGCTTCAATTTCATTGTCCAAACCCTATATGTTGTGTGTTTCCATGGGTTTCAATTAGGACGTCCTCTGCTCTCCCATTTTCCGAAGACGTAATACAGGGAAACCAGTTACTCTCAGTCAGCGATTCTCAACCCTTGGGTTGCAGCAAGTTCTGAAAGGGTTTTGAGGCAGAGTTGGAAATGCAAGCATTTTAAAACCAGCAAGCTCCTCTGCTGATACATGATCAGATTTCCCAGCCCTAATCCTTGAATTAACCGATATAAACTGGTCTTGGGTCTGCAATTGCTTAGCACAAAACTAGTGAACATTCAACCAATCCAAGAAGCCAAACCACAGATGGTTAATTTAAAATTCACTGGCACATCCAATCAGATTTACGCAATAGGCATTGATTGGCATAAACTGCACAGTGCCCTGCATGCTTGACCATAGCATTAATTTAAACCTATACTTGATATAGGGTCGCAACTGAGCTGCCATGGTGCAAAAAAGGCTGAGAACCGCTTCTCTAAGTCACATCACCACATCCATGCAGTTCCATTTTTTGCTACTTAAATGAATAATTCTATTGAACGTTTATGAAAAAACACAGAACTATCAAAAGTTATATGTAAATCAATTCACTGCATGCATGAAAAGTCAATACAGCAGTGCTTGATCCAGTCCGGATCCCTTATCAATGGCTGGGTGGATGTGTAATATATCTTAGCTACATTTGCATAACAATATTTTACTGCTTTAATTAGCTAGGAACTGAATTATATATTGTAAACATCCTATTGAAAACACAGAATATTCCACAAAGCCATCCACTTGAAGAATGAAATTTGGCTTTGAAAATCGAATCCTACTTTGAATTTTGAATTTCAAATGTATTGACAGCCTTAGGAGAAAAAATATGGCTCATTTTCAGCCACACGTTTGCCTTTGTTGGTTCGTGTGTAAGATACCACCGTGCCATCCGGGGGAGTGCCCAGCACGCTGCCATCCGGGGGAGTGCCCAGCACGCTGCCATCCGGGGGAGTGCCCAGCACGCTGCCATCCGGGGGAGTGCCCAGCACGCTGCCACCTCAATCTCACAGCAGCTGGGCAGCTCATGAAGCTCATGTTATTTATTAAAGCTTGTAGGACACACTGCTTAGACACAATGACATACAATATGTACGTTTTCATATAAAATAAATGTGGTTTGGATGTTGTCACATGTAAATGGGAGGGGGGGGGCATATTTGAAAGCCATTAGAAAGGAAACAGTCTATGGTATAGATTATATAATAGCGTGTGACTTAAAAAGATTACCAATACTAATTGGATGAAATTCTGGCACAACAACCAGAACACATTCTACTATGGCTCCTTGCCCCATGGTGGGAGCATGTCAGGTCAAATCGCTGCTCCACAGAGGTCATTCCCACTGAGCTTTTTATAGAGCTGCACAGGGACGGTTATTGAGCATACACAAAACAAGCACACAGTGAGCATTTAAAGAAATCGAATAAATAGAACGCGTTTCTATCAGATTTTATTGACTCACCTAAACACAAAAGGACTACAGCAGCGTGACTTCAATGTGTACATACTCTCCTCTTTAAAAGGAGTGCTGGTCCTTTAAACGCCTTTTGCTTTATGTGTTTCAAAAACATCAGCACAACATACTGCTGGAGAAGAAACAAAAGGTATTACAGGTTACCTATTTTCAAAGATATAGTGGTTCGATTAGACTCTACAGGTATACGAACCAAACTCAGCAATCAGGAAACTTGCTACAGTTTACCAGAATAAAGACAGTCTTTGCAGGAGACGTTTGCTTCCATTGCATGGAACAGCATGTCTGCATTTATACCTCCATTCAACTGAACTTTATTCTTTCACAAAGTCAAATACACCAAAATCATCCCCTTCCCCCAGTTTTAAATAAAGCATAAAAAAATCAGTTTAAAAGCAACATTCCCAGTAATTTTTTCAAATCATCTGCATGAGATAAAAATTAAATCTTAAATCGGACATATGTGCTGTTCACATTATTAAAAAAAGTATAAAAACAAAAAAACCAGAGAAATGTATATGTGTGTATGTTCACCAGTTTGGACACTGTGTATATTCCTACTCATGCAAGAAAACCAACTTCTGAATAAATATTTTGCACTGAGAATCTTACAAGTATTTACTCTTTTCTCATTGTGCACCACTCACTTATGCATAAATGAGCTGAAGCACATCCTAAAAGCACGGATATTCATTCTTAATGTCCCTGGAAGAATTAAACTGAGGTGGAAAGTTCAAGTCCAGAAAGTACAAATCCAGACCAAGATTTGGCTTCAGCCAATCAGTTGAGTAATCTGACTGAGACTCTTCTATATTCAACTGGTCGGTTGAAATTAAGTCTTGGTCTGGATTCGTACTGTCTGGACCTGAACTTTCCACCTCTGGAAAGAAACACCCTACAGTCAAACCAAACAGATAACGGGGGATCGGACAGACAGCTATGCGCGGGGATGGATGGATTTAGCCTGAATGCACTAGTAAGTCCTAGTCTTTCAGTTGGGAGTCCAGTTAGAGGTGGATTCTCTCCTTGCGGCTGCGATCGTACAGGATTTGCGCTAATGCACTGAACGCAGAGGACGGGTGAAGGCAGCGCTGGGAGGAGCGACACTGGAATGTATCTGAGGCGTGGTGTGTGAGAGCGGCACG